ATGACAATACGATGAAGGACGATGTCCACACTGTTAATACCAGAGGTAGGAAGTTAGAGAAGAGAACGTCAGTGGAGTAGTAGAAATATTTACTTTCCATACATACTGCCACCGCCGCCTCCACCATACATACTGCCACCGCTGCCTCCACCACCAGAGGATCCACCGTAACCTCCGCCGCCTCCGCTACCTCCACCACCAGAGGATCCACTGTAGCCACCGCCGCCTCCACCACCAGAGGATCCACCGTAGCCTCCGCCGCCTCCGCTGCTTCCACCGCCAGAGGATCCACCGTAGCCTCCGCCGCCTCCGCTGCCTCCACCGCCAGAGGATCTCACTGTGGCCTCCTGCCGCCTCCACCACCAGAGGATCCACTGCAGCCCTGCTGCCTGCTGCTCTCCACCGCCAGAGGATCCACCGTACCACTCTCCACCACCAGAGGAACCACCGTAACCTCCACCGCTTCCGCTGCCTGCACCACCAGAGGATCCACCGTATCCTCCGCCGCCTCCACCACCAGAGGATCCACCGTATCCTCCGCCGCCTCCGCTGCCTCCACCACCAGAGGATCCACCGTATCCTCCGCCGCCTCCACCACCAGAGGATCCACCGTAACCTCCGCCGCTTCCGCCGCTTGAAGATCCACCATATCCTCCACCACCACCACTGCTGCCACCAGAAGACCCGCCATACATACTTCCTCCGCCACCGCCACCACCGTACATGTCCCCTCCGCCGCCGCTGGAGGAACCACCGTAACCTCCACCACCGCCTCCACCATGTCCTCCACCTCCACTTCCTCCTCCACCAGATGGAGCGCTATATCCTCCACCTCCTCTTCCTCCTCCTCCTCCCCCTCCACCTCCATGGCCACCTCCGCCACCACCTCCTACGCTGCTATAGCTGCTTCCACCTCCTCCCCCTCCTCCTCCACCGTGGCTTCCTCCTCCTCCACCATGGCTTCCTCCTCCACCTCTGAAGTCCGCAATACAGGCTACCACCAACACGGCGAGGATCACCACGCCTACACCTCGCCTCTGAAATATCAAGGTGTATGATTGAATATTACTAAATATACTTATATTTGTGTCATGTTATTCTCGGGGCATTTGAACGTAAATGTTCCTTATGAAGTCTCACCTATTATATGTGGAAGAACTGTTGATGGTACACTTTTGGTAATACGATTATTGAGAGAACTCATAATATATATGGACTTAATGTTATGTATTGCGTTTGTGTGTGTAATGTCTTTGTATGGGAATATACCTGTGGCCAAAACTGCTTCCATTCCAGATAACTTTTAAAACATTCAAATTTTTCAATAGAGTTTTAATTTTATCTGGTGAAGTACACCCACATCAAATGATGAGTATCGTGATTGTCCTTTCTACTGTTTGGAACATGTTTAAATTTTTGTTTCTGAGATATTGTTTACACTAAGAACATTTTCAAGTACACGTAACATATCTAAAACACTTTAAAACCATTGTAATTGGTTAGACTTAAAGTTTATTCTCTCGTCTCGTATTTGTCTAACTCATTTCTCTTAGATAAATTATTTGCACTTGGACAAACCTGTTCCGCATTTTGTGCGTTTCATTCTCATCAACACATTTCTCAAACGTTGTGTACAATTCGGCAAACTTAAAGGTGACTGTATAACTGTGCCCTGTGATAGTAGGTAACGAGGTGCTCACCATGTTGCCTCTGCACTCCCCGCCAATCGTCTGACTTCTCTATTGGATCGGGGCCTTTTATATTTTGCACGTCATGACGCAGCTCGGAGTGTTGCTTGCGGCATAATATGTTGCATCCTTGCTTTTGTTTTACCAACAGTGTTATTAGCGGCTAGTCTAAATAAAACACGTGAAATCTTTCACCGAATATCTTCCTCGAATAAAACTAATTAATAATAAGTCTTATCTTTTGGTATTGATTCTAATCTGTGAAGACGTTTAATAACTTCTCTTTAACAAGAATAATTAACTCTTCACCAAACTCAACACTAACTAAACATTATTAACACGCGATAGTGTCAGTAGAGAGATTCTCACCATGCTGCCTGTGAGCTGACTTTGGATGTACTGACTCACACTCTTAGTATTGCAACCTTTATACTCTTCTTGAAGATGTTGCACAATAATATTGCTTAATGTCCTATTACATTTCACGGTCAAGTGCATATCATCTTTATTGTCTTTTATGACTCGGTCGAATCGATGGAAATAAATTCTTACAAATCCCCATCTGCGCATCGTGTATACATTAAGATTTTGTACATGCAGTTATATGCACTATTTTTTAAGTAACGTTCTCCCAACTTATTTTAAGGATACTAACAAAGATTTAAGCCATTTAAATGTTTTCAAGGTAATAACAACTTATGAATAATTATGAACAAACGCACACACACACACACACACACACACACACACACATACATATTTTCAGCCTTTTGGCTGACATGCCCTTTCAATAAGCATTTATATATATACATATAGATATATACACTAGTAAAATTTATATTACAATAGTAAGTACAAACCGGTATTTCATTTGACAATACTGAGCTCATGATCTTCAATACTGTCAACTACATTCGGTCCTTTATACGACTCGGGAAACATTCACCATCTACATTATGTCTGTAATATTCTAACTCCTAGTAACCTGTCCGGAGAAAGTGTAGTCAATCAATATTTTCTTAACGTTATTAATGTATATTATGTTCTGTACGTTTTATTTGTGTAAATGAATAGCATTAGATCGTTCTTTAAACTGTCTTTGAAAGAATAGACACAATGTTTCGCAACCTTTGACGTATTATTCTTGTCTAAGAAAAAATGAATGTTAAATATGAAATTTAATATTACAGTATTTTTGTTATAATCCACACATTTCATTTTATCAGAGAACCAAATTACTCCCGTTCTATAAGCATTTGTGTTAATAATATTCCAAAACTTCAGAACACTTCAGAGATATTTAGGTCAAATACATTTCTGTATTCATGATTTCCACATTAATCTTATGAAAATTTAGATCCATCTATTAAAGATTTGTTTTCGTGTCTATTGAATAATCACACCATTATGTCTACCTTTTTCATCACTCAGAAAATATGATTAAATTGTACCAGGTTGACAAACAGGTCTGTAAAATGAATTTTTATAGTACTTTTGTATATTTATGCACTTTCCTTTTGAAGTAATCATAAATGTAATCATAATTACGCATCATGAAATCGTATCATAATCGATTACATCCATCTTTACCGTAATCATAAAATTATAGCGCAATCGTAATTGTAATCAATTACATTACCGATGTAATCACCCCATGTGTATGGTAAGACCTCCATCAAACCTATATAGCAATTATAAATCTTGGTTAAGTTTAATTATCGAAATATAGAAGTTGTAAGTTATTATCCAAATTCTCCCGAGTGTAACATGCATATGTAATTTCCATCCACGATGTTATATCAGTGTAACTAATACACACAGTCACTGTAACCAGAGATGCAAAATTGAGGAGCATTAAAAACCTAATGGTAATTAATGGAGTCGATACCCGTGTGTTATTGGGTGTAATGGTTCCTTCTTGTTATCCATAGGTATATAAGGTAAATAATCTATCATTATATTCCTAAGAAAAGTTTTATATACCTAAGGGGATAATGATTAATATTCTTTTTCATATTTAAAGTTTTCTATGAATCTATTTCGAAATATTTCTTTATTTAAATAAAAAAATAAATATGCTAATTAAAGCCTTACAGCAGATACTTCAAATAAATCTTACAACACTTTTTCTATAGAATATTGAAAATATTGTAAATATTTTACAATGCAGTAAATCATCCATTCTTTATCTCCTTTATAGATAATAACCTGGATGATAATAAAATATCATCTAATAATAATAGGTTAAACTTTGTCGATCTTATCATTGCCATATGAAGTCCCTGATATACATTTACTTCCTGCTAAATTATTTACATGTATGTTATGTGTATTAGTAAAATATCGATATTATAACAGATGGTTAATTGGCTAACAATAAACATTTGAGCCCTTACTTAATGTTTTCTGATAACATTAACTATAATGCTATGTTACATTAATTACATTTTAGTCTTGCTAAAGACCTCAAATTTCAGCACCAGAGCCTGAACCAAAACATGAAGTCCCGTTTCTTTAAATAAATTTATTAGAAGTTGTTAATTGAACAGTGAACAGACACTGCCACTAATGTACGATTTAACAAGAATGAGCCTTAATCGATGTCATTTGCTATGAAACTGTGCCATATATCTTTTGCATCAGTCTCCCTAGTATAGCTCTTTTTAATCCGAAATTCCTTAAAATATAGATTCATTGGCCTTATTAGTCATACTTCCTCACATAAAACTGATATATCAAATGGACGTATGTGTTTAACCCAGGTATCTGTCGCTGAATTATATCTTGTAAAACTTTTTTTGTTTTTCTTCAATTTTAAGGTCCATAGAGGAAAGTAAACATTCATAGTCATGTTTTCATGGGAATATCTTAAAAATATATATTCCGTTACTTGTAATACCATAAGTCAATTATACACTCAGTATATTGAAGAATGATGAAAGAATATAATATAAATGGCATCGTACAGTTAACAGTTTATACACTCAGTATATTAAAGGTGATGGATCAATATAAAATAAAGGGCATTATTTCAGTTAACAGTTTACTTCTCAACATAATCGTACACACGTTTATAGAAAAAATAAGACAAACTTTTGTAACAGAAACAGTAAATTACATAGATTATAATGTGCAGTAAATTAACTAACATCACATTAGTTTAATGTAATAGAATGATGAACTGAAGAGATGATGTGTTGCGTCATCTGGCTGATACATGTAGATGACAATACGATGAAGGACGATGTCCACACTGTTAATACCAGAGGTAGGAAGTTAGAGAAGAGTACGTCAGTGGAATAGTAGAAATATTTACTTTCCATACATACTGCCACCGCCGCCTCCACCATACATACTGCCACCGCTGCCTCCACCACCAGAGGATCCACCGTAGCCTCCGCCGCCTCCGCTACCTCCACCACCAGAGGATGCACTGTAGCCACCGCCACCTCCACCACCAGAGGATCCACGGTAGCCTCCGCCGCCTCCGCTGCCTCCACCACCAGAGGATCCACCGTATCCTCCGCCGCCTCCGCTGCCTCCACCGCCAGAGGATCTCAATGCAGCCTCCGCCGCCTCCCACCACCAGAGTGAGATCCAGCACTGTAGTTCTCCGCTGCCTCCGCTGTCTCCAGCACCACCAGAGGATCCACTGCATCCCTCCGCTGCCTGGGCTGCTCTGGCACCGCCAGAGGATCCACCGCAGCTCCCGCCGCCCACCACCAGAGTGATCCACTGTGCCTCCGCCACCTGCTGTCGCACTGCCAGAGGATCCACTGTATCCTCCGCCACCTCCACCACCAGAGGATCCACCGTAATTCCCTCCACCGCTTCCGCTGTCACCACCAGAGGATCCACCGTAGCCTCTGCCGCCTCCTGCTGCTCTCCACCACCAGAGGATCCACCGTATCCTCCGCCGCCTCCACCACCAGAGGAACCACCGTAACCTCCACCGCTTCCGCTGCCTGCACCACCAGAGGATCCACCGTATCCTCCGCCGCCTCCACCACCAGAGGATCCACCGTATCCTCCGCCGCCTCCGCTGCCTCCACCACCAGAGGATCCACCGTATCCTCCGCCGCCTCCACCACCAGAGGATCCACCGTAGCCTCCGCCGCTTCCGCCGCTTGAAGATCCACCATATCCTCCACCACCACCACTGCTGCCACCAGAAGACCCGCCATACATACTTCCTCCGCCACCGCCACCACCGTACATGTTCCCTCCGCCGCCGCTGGAGGAACCACCGTAACCTCCACCACCGCCTCCACCATGTCCTCCACCTCCACTTCCTCCTCCACCAGATGGAGCGCTATATCCTCCACCTCCTCTTCCTCCTCTTCCTCCTCCCCCTCCTCCTCCATGGCCACCTCCGCCACCACCTCCTACGCTGCTATAGCTGCTTCCACCTCCCCCTCCTCCTCCACCATGGCTTCCTCCACCACCTCTGAAGTCCGCGATACAGGCTACCACCAACACGGCGAGGATCACCACGCCTACACCTCGCCTCTGAAATATCAAGATGTATGATTGAATATTACTAAATATACTTATATTTGTGTCATGTTATTCTCGGGGCATTTGAACGTAAATGTTCCTTATGAAGTCTCATCTATTATATGTGGAAGAACTGTTGATGGTACACTTTTGGTAATACGATTATTGAGAGAACTCATAATATATATGGACTTAATGTTATGTACAGCGTTTGTGTGTGTAATGTCTTTGTATGGGAATATACCTGTGGCCAAAACTACTTCCATTCCAGATAACGTTTAAAACATTCAAATTTTTCAATAGAGTTTTAATTTTATCTGGTGAAGTACACCCACATCAAATGATGCGTATCGTGATTGTCCTTTCTACTGTTTGGAACATGTTTAAACTTTTGTTTCTGAGATATTGTTTACACTAAGAACATTTTCAAGTACACGTAACATATCTAAAACACTTTAAAACCATTGTAATTGTTTAGACTTAAAGTTTATTCTCTCGTCTCGTATTTGTCTAACTCATTATTCTTAGATAAATTATTTACACTTGGACAAACCTGTTCCGGATTTTGTGCGTTTGATTCTCATCAACACATTTCTCAAACGTTGTGTACAATTCGGCAAACTTAAAGGTGACTGTATAACTGTGCCCTGTGATAGTAGGTAACGAGGTGCTCACCATGTTGCCTCTGCACTCCCCGCCAATCGTCTGACTTCTCTATTGGATCGGGGCCTTTTATATTTTGCACGTCATGACGCAGCTCGGAGTGTTGCTTGCAGCATAATATGTTGCATCCTTGCTTTTGTTTTACCAACAGTGTTATTAGCGGATAGTCTAAATATATCACGTGAAATCTTTCACCGAATATCTTCCTCGAATAAAACTAATTAATAATAAGTCTTATCTTTTGGTATTGATTCTAATCGTGAAGACGTTTAATAACTTCTCTTTAACAAGAATAATTAACTCTTCACCAAACTCAACACTAACTAAACATTAACACGCGATAGTGTCAGTAGAGAGATTCTCACCATGCTGCCTGTGAGCTGACTTTGGATGTACTGACTCACACTCTTAGTATTGCAACCTTTATACTCTTCTTGAAGATGTTGCACAATAATATTGCTTAATGTCCTATTACATTTCACGGTCAAGTGCATATCATCTTTATTGTCTTTTATGACTCGGTCGAATCGATGGAAATAAATTCTTACAAATCCCCATCTGCGCATCGTGTATACATTAAGATTTTGTACATGCAGTTATATGCACTATTTTTTAAGTAACGTTCTCCCAACTTATTTTAAGGATACTAACAAAGATTTAAGCCATTTAAATGTTTTCAAGGTAATAACAACTTATGAATAATTATGAACAAACGCACACACACACACACACACACACACACACACACATACATATTTTCAGCCTTTTGGCTGACATGCCCTTTCAATAAGCATTTATATATATACATATAGATATATACACTAGTAAAATTTATATTACAATAGTAAGTACAAACCGGTATTTCATTTGACAATACTGAGCTCATGATCTTCAATACTGTCAACTACATTCGGTCCTTTATACGACTCGGGAAACATTCACCATCTACATTATGTCTGTAATATTCTAACTCCTAGTAACCTGTCCGGAGAAAGTGTAGTCAATCAATATTTTCTTAACGTTATTAATGTATATTATGTTCTGTACGTTTTATTTGTGTAAATGAATAGCATTAGATCGTTCTTTAAACTGTCTTTGAAAGAATAGACACAATGTTTCGCAACCTTTGACGTATTATTCTTGTCTAAGAAAAAATGAATGTTAAATATGAAATTTAATATTACAGTATTTTTGTTATAATCCACACATTTCATTTTATCAGAGAACCAAATTACTCCCGTTCTATAAGCATTTGTGTTAATAATATTCCAAAACTTCAGAACACTTCAGAGATATTTAGGTCAAATACATTTCTGTATTCATGATTTCCACATTAATCTTATGAAAATTTAGATCCATCTATTAAAGATTTGTTTTCGTGTCTATTGAATAATCACACCATTATGTCTACCTTTTTCATCACTCAGAAAATATGATTAAATTGTACCAGGTTGACAAACAGGTCTGTAAAATGAATTTTTATAGTACTTTTGTTTATTTATGCACTTTCCTTTTGAAGTATCATAAATGTAATCATAATTACGCATCATGAAATCGTATCATAATCGATTACATCCATCTTTACCGTAATCATAAAATTATAGCGCAATCGTAATTGTAATCAATTACATTACCGATGTAATCACCCCATGTGTATGGTAAGACCTCCATCAAACCTATATAGCAATTATAAATCTTGGTTAAGTTTAATTATCGAAATATAGAAGTTGTAAGTTATTATCCAAATTCTCCCGAGTGTAACATGCATATGTAATTTCCATCCACGATGTTATATCAGTGTAACTAATACACACAGTCACTGTAACCAGAGATGCAAAATTAAGGAGCATTAAAAACCTAATGGTAATTAATGGAGTCGATACCCGTGTGTTATTGGGTGTAATGGTTCCTTCTTGTTATCCATAGGTATATAAGGTAACTAATCTTTCATTATATTCCTAAGAAAAAATTTTTATATCTAAGGGGATAATGATTAATATTCTTTTTCATATATAAAGTTTTCTATGAATCTATTTCGAAATATTTCTTAACTTCAATAAAAAAATAAATATGCTAATTAAAGCCTTACAGCATATACTTCAAATAAATCTTACAACACTTTTTCTATAGAATATTGAAAATATTGTAAATATATTACAATACAGTAAATCATCCATTCTTTATCTCCTTTATAGATAATAACCTGGATGATAATAAAATATCATCTAATAATAATAGGTTAAACTTGTCGATCTTATCATTGCCATATATGAAGTCCCTGTTATACATTTACCTGCTAAATTATTTCCATATATGTGTTTATATGTATTAATAAAATATCGATATTTTAACAGATGGTTAATTGGGCTAACAATAAACATATCCTTACTAATGTCTTCTGGATAACATTAACTATAATGCTCTGTTACATTAATTATATTTTAGTCTTGCTAAAAGACCTCAAACGCCTCAGCACCAGAGCCTGAACCAAACATGAAGTCCCGTTTCTTTTTAAATAAATTTATTAGGAAGCAGCAATTGAACAGTGAATAGACACTGCCATAATGTACGATTTAACAAGAATGGAGCCCAGTAATCGATGTCATTTGCCATGAAACTGTGCCATATATCTTTTACCAGTCTCCCTAGTATTGCCTTTAATCCGAAATTCCTTAAAATATAGATTCATTGGCCTTATTAGTCATACTTCCTCACATAAAACTGATATATCAAATGGACGTATGTGTTTAACCCAGGTATCTGTCGCTGAATTATATCTTGTAAAACTTTTTTTGGATTTTTTTCTTCAATTTTAAGGTCCATAGAGGAAAGTAAACATTCATAGTCATGTTTTCATGGGAATATCTTAAAAATATATATTCCGTTACTTGTAATACCATAAGTCAATTATACACTCAGTATATTGAAGAATGATGAAAGAATATAATATAAATGGCATCGTTCAGTTAACAGTTTATACACTCAGTATATTAAAGGTGATGGATCAATATAAAATAAAGGGCATTATTTCAGTTAACAGTTTACTTCTCAACATAATCGTAAACACGTTTATAGAAAAAATAAGTCAAACTTTTGTAACAGAAACAGTAAATTACATAGATTATAATGTGCAGTAAATTAACTAACATCACATTAGTTTAATGTAATAGAATGATGAACTGAAGAGATGATGTGTTGCGTCATCTGGCTGATACATGTAGATGACAATACGATGAAGGACGATGTCCACACTGTTAATACCAGAGGTAGGAAGTTAGAGAAGAGTACGTCAGTGGAATAGTAGAAATATTTACTTTCCATACATACTGCCACCGCCGCCTCCACCATACATACTGCCACCGCTGCCTCCACCACCAGAGGATCCACCGTAGCCTCCGCCGCCTCCGCTACCTCCACCACCAGAGGATCCACTGTAGCCACCGCCGCCTCCACCACCAGAGGATCCACCGTAGCCTCCGCCGCCTCCACCACCTCCACCCCGCCGCCTCCGCTGCCTCTCCACCACCAGAGAGATCCACCGTAGCCTCCGCCGCTCTCACAGAGGATCCACCGCACCCGCCGCCTCCGCTGCCTTCCACCACCAGGAGGATCCACCGTATCCTCCGCCGCTCCTCCACCGCCAGAGGATCCACCAGCTTCCGCCGCCTCCACCACCAGAGATCCACCGTAGCCTCCTGCCGCCTCCTGCTGCCCACCGCCAGAGATTCACCAGCCTCCGCTGCCTCCACCACCAGAGGATCCACCGTATCCTCCGCCGCTTCCGCTGCCTCCACCGCCAGAGGATCCACTGTAGCCTCCATCGCCTCCACCACCAGAGGATCCACTATAGCCTCCGCCGCCTCCGCTGCTTCCACCACCAGAGGATCCACCGTATCCTCCGCCGCCTCCACCACCAGAGGATCCACCGTAGCCTCCGCCGCTTCCGCCGCTTGAAGATCCACCATATCCTCCACCACCACCACTGCTGCCACCAGAAGACCCGCCATACATACTTCCTCCGCCACCGCCACCACCGTACATGTTCCCTCCGCCGCCGCTGGAGGAACCACCGTAACCTCCACCACCGCCTCCGCTACCACCGCCTCCACCATATCCTCCACCTCCACCAGATGGAGCGCTATATCCTCCACCTCCTCTTCCTCCTCCTCCTCCCCCTCCTCCTCCATGGCCACCTCCGCCACCACCTCCTACGCTGCTATAGCTGCTTCCACCTCCTCCCCCTCCTCCTCCACCATGGCTTCCTCCTCCACCTCTGAAGTCCGCAATACAGGCTACCACCAACACGGCGAGGATCACCACGCCTACACTTCGCCTCTGAAATATCAAGGTTTATGATTGAATATTACTAAATATACTTATATTTGTGTCATGTTATTCTCGGGGCATTTGAACGTAAATGTATAGTTCTCGGGGCATTTGAACGTAAATGTTCCTTATGAAGTCTCACCTATTATATGTGGAAGAACTGTTGATGGTACACTTTTGGTAATACGATTATTGAGAGAACTCATAATATATATGGACTTAATGTTATGTATTGCGTTTGTGTGTGTAATGTCTTTGTATGGGAATATACCTGTGGCCAAAACTGCTTCCATTCCAGATAACTTTTAAAACATTCAAATTTTTCAATAGAGTTTTAATTTTATCTGGTGAAGTACACCCACATCAAATGATGAGTATCGTGATTGTCCTTTCTACTGTTTGGAACATGTTTAAATTTTTGTTTCTGAGATATTGTTTACACTAAGAACATTTTCAAGTACACGTAACATATCTAAAACACTTTAAAACCATTGTAATTGGTTAGACTTAAAGTTTATTCTCTCGTCTCGTATTTGTCTAACTCATTTCTCTTAGATAAATTATTTGCACTTGGACAAACCTGTTCCGCATTTTGTGCGTTTCATTCTCATCAACACATTTCTCAAACGTTGTGTACAATTCGGCAAACTTAAAGGTGACTGTATAACTGTGCCCTGTGATAGTAGGTAACGAGGTGCTCACCATGTTGCCTCTGCACTCCCCGCCAATCGTCTGACTTCTCTATTGGATCGGGGCCTTTTATATTTTGCACGTCATGACGCAGCTCGGAGTGTTGCTTGCGGCATAATATGTTGCATCCTTGCTTTTGTTTTACCAACAGTGTTATTAGCGGCTAGTCTAAATAAAACACGTGAAATCTTTCACCGAATATCCTCCTCGAATAAAACTAATTAATAATAAGTCTTATCTTTTGGTATTGATTCTAATCTGTGAAGACGTTTAATAACTTCTCTTTAACAAGAATAATTAACTCTTCACCAAACTCAACACTAACTAAACATTATTAACACGCGATAGTGTCAGTAGAGAGATTCTCACCATGCTGCCTGTGAGCTGACTTTGGATGTACTGACTCACACTCTTAGTATTGCAACCTTTATACTCTTCTTGAAGATGTTGCACAATAATATTGCTTAATGTCCTATTACATTTCACGGTCAAGTGCATATCATCTTTATTGTCTTTTATGACTCGGTCGAATCGATGGAAATAAATTCTTACAAATCCCCATCTGCGCATCGTGTATACATTAAGATTTTGTACATGCAGTTATATGCACTATTTTTTAAGTAACGTTCTCCCAACTTATTTTAAGGATACTAACAAAGATTTAAGCCATTTAAATGTTTTCAAGGTAATAACAACTTATGAATAATTATGAACAAACGCACACACACACACACACACACACACACACACATACATATTTTCAGCCTTTTGGCTGACATGCCCTTTCAATAAGCATTTATATATATACATATAGATATATACACTAGTAAAATTTATATTACAATAGTAAGTACAAACCGGTATTTCGTTTGACAATACTGAGCTCATGATCTTCAATACTGTCAACTACATTCGGTCCTTTATACGACTCGGGAAACATTCACCATCTACATTATGTCTGTAATATTCTAACTCCTAGTAAACTGTCCGGAGAAAGTGTAGTCAATCAATATTTTCTTAACGTTATTAATGTATATTATGTTCTGTACGTTTTATTTGTGTAAATGAATAGTATTAGATCGTTCTTTCAACTGTCTTTGAAAGAATAGACACAATGTTTCACAACCTTTGACGTATTATTCTTGTCTAAGAAAAAATGAATGTTAAATATGAAATTTAATATTACAGTATTTTTGTTATAATCCACCTTTATTGAAAGTAATATTTTCAGTATATCTGAGTATGCAGTATACCACACATTTCATTTTATCAGAGAACTAAATCACTCCCTTTCTATAAGCAATTGTGTTAACAATATTCCAAAACTTCAGAAAACTTCAGAGATATTTAGGTCAAATACATTTCTGTATTCATGATTTCCACATTAATCTTATGAAAATTTTGATCCATCTATTAAAGATTTGTTTTCGTGTCTATTGAATACTCACACCATTATGTCTACCTTTTTCATCACTCAGAAAATATGATTAAATTGTACCAGGTTGACAAACAGGTCTGTAAAATGAGTTTTTATAGTACTTTTGTTTATTTATGCACTTTCCTTTTGAAGCAATCATAAATGTAATCATAATTACGCATCATGAAATCGTATCATAATCGATTACATCCATCTTTACCGTAATCATAAAATTATAGCGCAATCGTAATTGTAATCAATTACATTACCGATGCAATCACCCCATGTGTATGGCAAGACCTCCAACAAATCTGTATAGCAATTATAAATCTTGGTTAAGTTTAATTATCGAAATATAGAAGTTGTAAATTATAATCCAAATTCTCCAGAGTGTAACATGCATATGTAATTTCCATCCTCGATGTTATATCAGTGTAACTAATACACACAGTCACTGTAACCAGAGATGCAAAATTAAGGAGCATTAAAAACCTAATGGTAATTAATGGAGTCGATACCCGTGTGTTATTGGGTGTAATGGTTCCTTCTTGTTATCCATAGGTATATAAGGTAACTAATCTTTCATTATATTCCTAAGAAAAAATTTTTTTATCTAAGGGGATCATGATTAATATTCTTTTTCATATATAAAGTTTTCTATGAATCTATTTCGAAATATTTCTTAACTTCAATAAAAAAATAAATATGCTAATTAAAACCTAACAGCATATACTTCAAATAAATCTTACAACACTTTTTCTATAGAATATTGAAAATATTGTAAATATTTTACAATGCAGTAAATCATCCATTCTTTATCTCCTTTACAGATAATAACCTGGATGATAATAAAATATCATCTAATAATAATAGGTTAAACTTGTCAATCTTATCATTGCCATATTTGAAGTCCCTGTTATACATTTACCTGCTAAATTATTTCCATATATGTGTTTATGTGTATTAATAAAATATCGATATTTTAACAGATGGTTAATTGGGCTAACAATAAACATATCCTTACTAATGTCTTCTGGATAACATTAACTATAATGCTCTGTTACATTAATTATATTTTAGTCTTGCAAAAAGACCTCAAACGCCTCAGCACCAGAGCCTGAACCAAACATGAAGTCCCGTTTCTTTTTAAATAAATTTATTAGGAAGCAGCAATTGAACAGTGAATAGACACTGCCATAATGTACGATTTAACAAGAATGGAGCCCAGTAATCGATGTCATTTGCCATGAAACTGTTCCATATATCTTTTACCAGTCTCCCTAGTATTGCCTTTAATCCGAAATTCCTTAAAATATAGATTCATTGGCCTTATTAGTCATACTTCCTCACATAAAACTGATATATCAAATGGACGTATGTGTTTAACCCAGGTATCTGTCGCTGAATTATATCTTGTAAAACTTTTTTTGTTTTTTCTTCAATTTTAAGGTCCATAGAGGAAAGTAAACATTCATAGTCATGTTTTCATGGGAATATCTTAAAAATATATATTCCGTTACTTGTAATACCATAAGTCAATTATACACTCAGTATATTGAAGAATGATGAAAGAATATATTATAAATGGCATCGTTCAGTTAACAGTTTATACACTCAGTATATTAAAGGTGATGGATCAATATAAAATAAAGGGCATTATTTCAGTTAACAGTTTACTTCTCAACATAATCGTAAACACGTTTATAGAAAAAATAAGTCAAACTTTTGTAACAGAAACAGTAAATTACATAGATTATAGTGTGCAGTAAAGTAACTAACATCATATTAGTTTAATGTAATAGAATGATGAACTGAAGAGATGATGTGTTGCGTCATCTGGCTGATACATGTAGATGACAATACGATGAAGGACGATGTCCACACTGTTAATACCAGAGGTAGGAAGTTAGAGAAGAGAACGTCAGTGGAGTAGTAGAAATATTTACTTTCCATACATACTGCCACCGCCGCCTCCACCATACATACTGCCACCGCTGCCTCCACCACCAGAGGATCCACCGTAACCTCCGCCGCCTCCGCTACCTCCACCACCAGAGGATCCACTGTAGCCACCGCCGCCTCCACCACCAGAGGATCCACCGTAGCCTCCGCCGCCTCCGCTGCTTCCACCGCCAGAGGATCCACCGTAGCCTCCGCCGCCTCCACCCCCAGAGGATCCACTGTAGCCTCCTGCTGCTCTGCTGCCTCCACCGCCAGATCCACCGTAGCCTCCGCTGCCTCCACCGCCAGAGGATCCACCGTATCCTCCGCCACCTCCACCACCAGAGGATCCACCGTAACCTCCACCGCTTCCGCTGCCTCCACCACCAGAGGATCCACCGTAGCCTCCGCCGCCTCCGCTGCCTCCACCACCAGAGGATCCACCGTATCCTCCGCCGCCTCCGCTGCTTCCACTGCCAGAGGATCCACCGTAGCCTCCCGCCGCCTCCACCACTAGAGTGATCCACTGTAGCCTCCGCCGCCTCCGCTGCCACCACCGCCAGAGGATCCTCTGTAGCCTCCGCTGCCTCCACCACCAGAGGATCCACCGTAGCCTCCGCCGCCTCCGCTACCTCCACCGCCAGAGGATCCACCGTAGCCTCCGCCGCCTCCACCACCAGAGGGATCACTATGGCCTCCGCCGCCGCCGCTGCCTCCACCACCAGAGGATCCACCGTAGCCTCCGCCGCTTCCGCCACTTGAAGATCCACCATATCCTCCACCACCACCACTGCTGCCACCAGAAGACCCGCCATACATACTTCCTCCGCCACCGCCACCACCGTACATGTTCCCTCCGCCGCCGCTGGAGGAACCACCGTAACCTCCACCACCGCCTCCACCACCACCGCCTCCACCATGTCCTCCACCTCCACTTCCTCCTCCACCAGATGGAGCGCTATATCCTCCACCTCCTCTTCCTCCTCTTCCTCCTCCCCCTCCTCCTCCATGGCCACCTCCGCCACCACCTCCTACGCTGCTATAGCTGCTTCCACCTCCTCCCCCTCCTCCTCCACCATGGCTTCCTCCTCCACCTCTGAAGTCCGCGATACAGGCTACCACCAACACGGCGAGGATCACCACGCCTGCACCTTGCCTCTGAAATATCAAGGTGTATGATTGAATATTACTAAATATACTTATATTTGTGTCATGTTATTTTCGGGGCATTTGAACGTAAATGTTCCTTATGAAGTCTCACCTATTATATGTGGAAGAACTGTTGATGGTACACTTTTGGTAATACGATTATTGAGAGAACTCATAATATATATGGACTTAATGTTATGTATTGCGTTTGTGTGTGTAATGTCTTTGTATGGGAATATACCTGTGGCCAAAACTGCTTCCATTCCAGATAACTTTTAAAACATTCAAATTTTTCAATAGAGTTTTAATTTTATCTGGTGAAGTACACCCACATCAAATGATGAGTATCGTGATTGTCCTTTCTACTGTTTGGAACATGTTTAAATTTTTGTTTCTGAGATATTGTTTACACTAAGAACATTTTCAAGTACACGTAACATATCTAAAACACTTTAAAACCATTGTAATTGGTTAGACTTAAAGTTTATTCTCTCGTCTCGTATTTGTCTAACTCATTTCTCTTAGATAAATTATTTGCACTTGGACAAACCTGTTCCGCATTTTGTGCGTTTCATTCTCATCAACACATTTCTCAAACGTTGTGTACAATTCGGCAAACTTAAAGGTGACTGTATAACTGTGCCCTGTGATAGTAGGTAACGAGGTGCTCACCATGTTGCCTCTGCACTCCCCGCCAATCGTCTGACTTCTCTATTGGATCGGGGCCTTTTATATTTTGCACGTCATGACGCAGCTCGGAGTGTTGCTTGCGGCATAATATGTTGCATCCTTGCTTTTGTTTTACCAACAGTGTTATTAGCGGCTAGTCTAAATAAAACACGTGAAATCTTTCACCGAATATCCTCCTCGAATAAAACTAATTAATAATAAGTCTTATCTTTTGGTATTGATTCTAATCTGTGAAGACGTTTAATAACTTCTCTTTAACAAGAATAATTAACTCTTCACCAAACTCAACACTAACTAAACATTATTAACACGCGATAGTGTCAGTAGAGAGATTCTCACCATGCTGCCTGTGAGCTGACTTTGGATGTACTGACTCACACTCTTAGTATTGCAACCTTTATACTCTTCTTGAAGATGTTGCACAATAATATTGCTTAATGTCCTATTACATTTCACGGTCAAGTGCATATCATCTTTATTGTCTTTTATGACTCGGTCGAATCGATGGAAATAAATTCTTACAAATCCCCATCTGCGCATCGTGTATACATTAAGATTTTGTACATGCAGTTATATGCACTATTTTTTAAGTAACGTTCTCCCAACTTATTTTAAGGATACTAACAAAGATTTAAGCCATTTAAATGTTTTCAAGGTAATAACAACTTATGAATAATTATGAACAAACGCACACACACACACACACACACACACACACACATACATATTTTCAGCCTTTTGGCTGACATGCCCTTTCAATAAGCATTTATATATATACATATAGATATATACACTAGTAAAATTTATATTACAATAGTAAGTACAAACCGGTATTTCGTTTGACAATACTGAGCTCATGATCTTCAATACTGTCAACTACATTCGGTCCTTTATACGACTCGGGAAACATTCACCATCTACATTATGTCTGTAATATTCTAACTCCTAGTAAACTGTCCGGAGAAAGTGTAGTCAATCAATATTTTCTTAACGTTATTAATGTATATTATGTTCTGTACGTTTTATTTGTGTAAATGAATAGTATTAGATCGTTCTTTAAACTGTCTTTGAAAGAATAGACACAATGTTTCGCAACCTTTGACGTATTATTCTTGTCTAAGAAAAAATGAATGTTAAATATGAAATTTAATATTACAGTATTTTTGTTATAATCCACCTTTATTGAAAGTAATATTTTCAGTATATCTGAGTATGCAGTATACCACACATTTCATTTTATCAGAGCACTAAATTACTCCCCTTCTATAAGCATTTGTGTAAATAATATTTCAAAACTTCAGAACACTTCAGAGATATTTAGATCAAATACATTTCTGTATTCATGATTGCCACATTAATCTTATGAAAATTTTGATCCATCTATTAAAGATTTGTTTTCGTGTCTATTGAATACTCACACCATTATGTCTACCTTTTTCATCACTCAGAAAATATGATTAAATTGTACCAGGTTGACAAACAGGTCTGTAAAATGAGTTTTTATAGTACTTTTGTTTATTTATGAACTTTCCTTTTGAAGTAATCATAAATGTAATCATAATTACGCATCATGAAATCGTAATCATAATCGATTACATCCACCTTTACCGTAATCATAATCATAATCATAAAATTATAACCCAATCGTAAATGTAATCAATTACATTACCGATGTAATCACCCCATGAGTATGGCAAGACCTCCATCAAACCTATATAGCAATTATAAATCTTGGTTAAGTTTAATTATGGAAATATAGAAGTTGTAAATTATTATCCAAATTCTCCAGAGTGTAACATGCATATGTAATTTCCATCCTCGATGTTATATCAGTGTAACTATTACACACATTCACTGTAACTAGAGATGCAAAATTAAGGAGCATTAAAAACCTAATGGTAATTAATGGAGTCGATACCCGTGTGTTATTGGGTGTAATGTTTCCTTCTTGTTATCCATAGGTAGATAAGTTAACTAATCTTTTATGATTTTCCTAAGTAAAGTTTTTTATATCTACGGGGATAATGATTAATATTCTTTTTCATATATAAAGTTTTCTATAAATCTTTTTCGAAATATTTCTTAACTTAAATAAAAAACTAAATATGCTAATTAAAGCCTAACATCATATACTTCAAATAAATCTTACAACACCTTTTCTATAGAATATTGAAAATATTGTAAATATTTTACAATGCAGTAAATCATCCATTCTTTATCTCCTTTATAGATAATAACCTGGATGATAATAAAATATCATCTAATAATAATAGATTAAACTTGTCGATCTTATCATTGCCATATATGAAGTCCCTGAAATACATTTACCTGCTAAATTATTTACATGTATGTGTTCATGTGTATTAATAAAATATCGATATTTTAACAGATGGTTAATTGGGCTAACAATAAACATATCCTTACTAATGTCTTCTGGATAACATTAACTATAATGCTCTGTTACATTAATTATATTTTAGTCGTGCTAAAAGGCCTCAATCGCCTCAGCACCAGAGCCTGAACCAAACATGAAGTCCCGTTTCTTTTTAAATAAACTTATTAGGAAGCAGCAATTGAACAGTGAATAGACACTGCCATAATGTACGATTTAACAAGAATGGAGCCCAGTAATCGATGTCATTTGCCATGAAACTGTGCCATATATCTTTTACCAGTCTCCCTAGTATAGCCTTTAATCCGAAATTCCTTAAAATATAGATTCATTGGCCTTATTAGTCATACTTCCTCACATAAAACTGATATATCAAATGGACGTATGTGTTTAACCCAGGTATCTGTCGCTGAATTATATCTTGTAAAACTTTTTTTGTTTTTTCTTCAATTTTAAGGTCCATAGAGGAAAGTAAACATTCATAGTCATGTTTTCATGGGAATATCTTAAAAATATATATTCCGTTACTTGTAATACCATAAGTCAATTATACACTCAGTATATTGAAGATGATGAAAGAATATAATATAAATGGCATCGTTCAGTTAACAGTTTATACACTCAGTATATTGAAGGTGATGGAACAATATATAATAAAGGGCATTATTTCAGTTAACAGTTTACTTCTCAACATAATCGTAAAGACGTTTATAGAAAAAATAATACAAACTTTTGTAACAGAAACAGTAAATTACATAGATTATAATGTGCAGTAAAGTAACTAACATCAAATTAGTTTAATGTAATAGAATGATGAACTGAAGAGATGATGTGTTGCGTCATCTGGCTGATACATGTAGATGACAATACGATGAAGGACGATGTCCACACTGTTAATACCAGAGGTAGGAAGTTAGAGAAGAGTACGTCAGAGGAGTAGTAGAAATATTTACTTTCCATACATACTGCCACCACCGCCTCCACCATACATACTGCCACCGCCGCCTCCACCACCAGAGGATCCACCGTAGCCTCCGCCGCCTCCGCTACCTCCACCGCCAGAGGATCCACCGTAGCCTCCGCCGCCTCCACCACCAGA